TATATATATATATATATATGTTAACTATTATTTTCTTCTTTTCTTTTTATTCTAATAATAATAATAAGCTGATGCATGCTTTATTCCCTTTGGAAAATGAATAGATACCCTTTGCATCCAATGACAATAATATAACATAATACATTTTTGTCTTCCATCCCCTTAATATAGGTACTAATTCCTTTTCTTAAACATTAATTACATTTAATAATATTAAATTAGTGCCATCTTAATCGTTATAAGCTTAAATTAGAGTTAATAATTAAAGTGTGAATGTTGTTAGATGAATGATTCCTGAACCTGATTATGATTATAAATTATAATATATGATCTTATAAATGAAAGAAGATTAATTAATTTATTAATAAAGGAAGGTTCGATACCATTACGGCTCATTAATTAATTTACAATGCACTGAATTTACTTTTCAAGGTGGGGTAATGCGGCCTATCATCGAAGAACATAACAAAAGCCTAACATTTGACTTTGATAAATTAAAGTCAACGTACGAAAATGATAGAATTATTTTTTGATTCCGCCAAATTAACTATAGATAGGTTACTATATATGGTAGAGCCTAATTATAAGTTATCTTTAGTAATTTAATTTAATGGGAGGCACATGTAATTCTTAATTAATTAAGGTGCAAAAGCTATAATAATTTATAATCTAATGATGTGATATTTTTATATTTATTATAATAGAAAATAACTATCTATTTAGTTTAGTTTTCATTCAATTTTCAGTTTTGATTTTATGTTTTTGTATAATTTATAATGTTTGCTTTATCTTTAAAGTGACAAATTTGTTTCAGATTTCAGAATAAATCAACCCTGATTGCATAGGTAGAATTTCTATTTTTTTAAAAAAAAAAAAATTGAAGATGTAAGTTTTAATGCTGAGTTATGAACTCATTTAATTGACATTAAGCAAAAAAAAAAAAAAAAAAAAAACTTGCATCTTATAAAAAATTTAAGGCTAATGTGGATTTTTATTCTAGAGTTAAGTAAAGAAAAATGAGTAATGTAGCATAAAAATCCTATTATTATGTTAAATAATATATAAAATTTCAAGTAATTGAAAATTATTATATAGCTTCCCATTTCTTTTAAAAAATTACTTCATAACTTTAATTTCATTTTTAATTAAAAATATATAATATATTAAATGAAATTAATTTTTTGATATAAATATAGTTCTTCTACAAATGAAAAAAAATAAATCGTAGGTAAAAAAGAAAATAGAAATTAAGATTTATCATATTGTAACTACTCACTCTCGCACCACTATTGACTAAAAATAATATTTAAAGATAATTTACTCAATTACTAATATAAAATAATATTATAAATATATAATTAATATTTATTAATCAAAAATTAAAAATTTAGACAGAATTAAACATAAGATTAAAAATATATTAATTATGTATATAGTGATATATAAAAATTATTTAATGCAGATATACCATATACTCGATTTAAGTTTATATTTTTTTTACTAATACCCATCTTGTAACTCATTAATTATGAATTTTAACTCACCTCATATGGGGTGAGTTAATGAGTAATGTGCCCCTATACCCATCTATAAGTTGTAGTATTAATAACAATATTAGCGATAATGATAGTGTGAATATCGATAACAATGTTGATGGCGGGAGAAGAAATGGTGGTATCAAGAAATGATGGTGGTTGGCGGCAACTGAAATAGTAGTAATAACTATAATAATGATAGTAACTACAACAATTAATGATGATAGTAGTAGTTTAATATAATAGTAACAAAGTTCAACAATGATGATGAGTATATTGATAGTAGCTTGACAATTACAACTGAGTGATTATGGTGATAGTAATAACAAAAATAATTCTATTAGTGGTAGTTCTAAGATAGAAGTGGATGCCTAATGATGATGATAGTAATGGCGGTAATAGTAACAATGATTGTAGTAGTTTTGATAAAATAATAGTAGTGATAAGAATACCGATAAAGTTGATAATAGTAGTGATTACCAGTAAAAGTAAGAGTAATAATGATAATAGTGTTAGAATTGATATATTCTTACTATTAGATGTACTGGAAAGCAAATTTTTTTTTTAAAAAAAAGAACTTTAGTCTTTTTTGATTAAGGCACTACTAAGATAAATAATTTTATCATAGCAATAAACAAATTTTATCCTTAATATTTGATAAGGTAAGGAATTCACCTTTTATACCACCATATGCATTACACCAAATATATCATTTATCTAACTAAAGACTATTTACTTTATTCTACCAATTGTGTCAAACAGAACTTTTAAAGTAAACGGCAAAAAATTTCTCTAAAAAATTTCATATAAAATTTCATTTAGGATGAAAATATATATTTTAAAATTTAGAGTTTTGGCAAATTTTAAATTTTATTAAAGTTTAGATCTTGTGTTTGTTAATTTAAATATGAATTTACTAATAAAGTTTAGAGAACTTTTTGAATTTATTTTAAACACAATTCAAGATAGGTTAAACTAAATAAACAAAAATTTAGTTTGAAACACATATACATATATATATATATATACACGTATTCTATGGAGTACAATAAGTGAAACCTAATAAATTACATTGTAGTTATGCATATTGACTTATATGATAACTAAAAATATTTTCTCTTATATATTTTCGGCCCAACTGTACATACTTGTTGATTTAGGGATAAGTCAGGAGGCCTGGGCTGGTATCTATACTTTGGGCCTAACTAGTTAATCTTTTACGTGAATGCCTCCAAGTTAATCCCAATATTTATTTATATATAAATTAAAAGTAATTTTAAAACTTGAACTTGAAACAAACATGACTTCTAATTTGAGGATTAAAACAAAAATTGTCCTATTTGTATAAAAACATTGTTTTTCCAATGTATTTGATAGTAAAATACACTAACATTTCTATAAATAGTAATTAAAAAAAAAAATTATCTAAAATTTTTTCATTTTTAAAAGAAATTAAAATATATTATATTTATTAAAAAAGACAACAAGTGTAGTTGTAGATTCTCTAAACTCGTAATATATTAGATGAGTTCATTAGACTATCTCAATCTTGTTATTTATTTATTTAGATTATTATGATATTGTTCGGGTCTCTTTATTTATTTATTTTTATCTTTTTTTATAAATGAAATTGAAAGAAACAGAAAATAGAGTATAGAGGAAGTGGAAAGATACAAGGGAAAAAAAGTGTTTAAACTGTAACGTAATTTGAAAAGATCCACAAGATTAATGTCTTAAAATAGACGAGTGATGAATTAGCGCCACCTTTACATGTTCCATGAAAAACCATACAAACGCTAAAATCACTCCACGCCATTCCTTCCTGACCTAACTCTCCATATAAGATCTCATCTCCCCATTGCCATTATCTTGCATCGGCTTTCTTTTATAGGGTTTGATCAGCTTTTGCCATTGAAGATCAAGAGAAGCCAGCTAAGCTTGGCTTTAGGCTTTTACTCCCATTACAAATGGATCCCAAAGCCTCATCCCTTGCCTCTCTCGCTCTCTTGCTAGCTCTATGCTTCACCTCCTCCGTCACCGCTTTCAACATCACCAAAATCCTCTCCAACTTTCCCGATTTCTCCACTTTCAATGATCTCCTCACCAAGAGTGAACTCGTCGGACCCATCAACAAGCGTCTCACCATCACCGTCCTCGCCGTTGATAACAGCGCTATCTCGTCCGTCACCGGCAGACCCACTGAGGAACTCAAGAACATTCTCATGAATCATGTTGTCCTCGATTACTATGATGATCTTAAACTCAAAGGCATAAAAGGTAAAAGCACACTCCTCACCACCCTTTTCCAGACAACCGGAGTGGCTCAGCAGCAGAATGGGTTTCTCAACTGTACTAAAACTGAGTCAGGGAAGGTCTTGTTTGGATCTGGAGTGAAGGGTTCACCATTGAATGCAGAAATGGTCAAGCCAGTTTTCCAACAACCTTTTAACATCTCAGTAATTGAGGTGAGCATGCCCATTGTTGCTCCAGGAATTGGAGCTCCTGTGCACGCACCACCTCCTCCACCATCGACACCACCACCGGCACCTGCTCCCGAAACTGATTCACCCATTGAGGCTCCTTCACCTTCTGATGAAGATGACACTGTTAGCCCAGTTGCTGCACCCGAGCCATCCGCAGATGATATCTCTCCTTCTCCAGATTCAGATTCTGATGCACCTGCTTCCGGGCCTAGCACTGACTCCCTTTCACCGGCGGCCGACGATGCAGAAGATCATTCTGGTTCCTCTAAGATCAGCTCTACCTTCGGCATTGCTGCAGCTATAATCTGTTTGGCTGCTAGCGTTGCTACAGTAGGGTTTTAAAATTAGTTGACGATAAGTGCATGGAAGTGAGGAAGAAAGTTATGGAGGAGAACGCAGAGAGGCATTATTAACGTTGGCAC